CCAATCTTTTGATCCAATTCTCAACCAATTAATCTATCATTTCAACCAATTATTTATATATTTTCTTAAGTTATTAAATAAACAATGTATATAGATATCAACTAAAAAAGAATATCGTGAAATGTTAATAATTATATATAGTTATTAATTGAATATTAGTTGGATGATAATTGAATGTTTATTGGATTGGATCGGTTTAGTTTTATTGGATGATAGATTACCATCCAAGAACCGATTGATTCGATTTGGATGTTGAACTTTTTGGATCCGATCTGATCCGATTACAATTGGATATCCGATTTTGGTTGATAGATTCTAATTGTATCGGTCGATTTAAATTGGATCGGATGATTTTCTGCACACCCTAAGATTTGGTACGGTACCGAGTTTTTTTTCTTCAATATCGTGTACCAATCAATTATAATTGGTACGTAAAATCTTATATCATGTACCAACCAATCGATCTTGATTTGTATCACATTTTTTCGATTGGTACATGTGATTACTAGTTTTGTACCAACTTCAAATTACGTATATGAAAACTTGCACTTTCGTTCAAATTTAGAGTCACATTTTGAGTTAGTAGGTAATACATGTCGTGCTTGAGTGTTTTTTATTTGCGTGAAATAAATTTGTAAGCATTAATCAAATTTCCGAAACAAGTTAAAATTTACGATATCAAATTTTCAATACATCAAAAAAACAAAAACTAATAAATAATTAAATAAGTTGGTACCATTGAACTACCGTGATATGGGACTTCCAATACTGTGTGGCAACCAAGCTTTCATATGTGGTACGACACTACCAACCAATTATAGTTGGTACCGATTAAATTCATACCAATTTAATTGACACGATAGGTATAGTTATTGGTTGGTTTGATCTGATATAAAATTACCACCCTTAGAAAACAGGCGTGTGGATTGCAATTTTTAATTTCGTTTGATTCCAAATAAATTTACCCCTAATACATGCAACTACTTCATAACCGTCCATTCAATCTTCATTTAACTTGCAGAATTGTCACCGGTGTTTTTGAGTCGTTGATCATAAAGCTTGGACACCTAAATCAGTTCCCTAGGTCCCAAAAATACTTGTGATTCTTATTTAAATGTTTCCCGTATATGTTTGTGTGTCTATATTGTATTTATATGGAAGTTGAATTGTATTTCTACTTATAATAAAACAAAATATGGAATTTAATCCATCTTAGAAGTAAAAACTTTGCTCATGAAATGTATGTAATCCAAAAAGATAGAAGATAAGTGAGCGTGGATGGAGAGAGTTATTAGTGATAATATGATATTGATTCTTTAGTAGAAGACACGGTCAACTCCAAGTCTTTTCCAAGAATAGTCTATTTAATCAAATAGGATCGTGGAAAAGCGGTCGGTAATTACCAACTGTTCATTATTGTAACAACTCACCCCACATATAACTCATGATTCATATAATACAAAAGTTCAACAACTTTTAAACACAACTTGACGTAACATGAATATAACCGATTCAATTGTTATGTAATAAACCGCTCTCACAAAAAAATTTAGTCAACACATAATCAGATATAAAACATCTGATCTCTCATCACAACTTTCCCTTTCCTTTACCATCCGGATGAATCCGACCTGAAATGCATATTTTGAAAAACATAAGAAGGGTTAGATCATAAGGTCTAGTGAGTAATTCTCTGATAGTTTACACAACCAAAATCACCAAAAACATTTAGTATATCAAAAAGTCACTTTCACTTTATCATATTATACCACCCTTATTCTAAATACACCTCTCCTGAGTATGTCACCCTTATCTCAGTATACACCTCTCCTGCCAATGATATCACATTTTTTCCAATATATACCTCTCCTGCATATAACAATATCAAATTCAATCATACCCACAAATAACAGTTGAGTGTATCAAAAATCAACTAAAATCATAACCCACATATTTCATATAGATGATGAGTAACATAAAACACGAAAGTTGTTATGGCTGCCATCTAACATCTTATATCAAAGAATTCTTTAATTTTAGTTTCTAAGTAATATTATCAAAAAAAAAATCAAATTACAATGTTGGTTAACATCTTATATGATTATTAAAATACATTTTTTTTCTACTGATAATTTTATTAACTCGTTCGATCATTTCTATATATATGCTTTATAATTTTTATTTGTAGTACCCAATAAACTAATAACTAGACTAATTTTTGCCATACTTCATAATTTTTATTTGAAGTTAATAAAAGGTAAGTATTACATACATCGTTATTGACGATGTCATTAAGCCCTCCCATCATTTTCATATCCACGTCAATAAAATTATTTAACGAGCTTATTGACATTTGCACTTGTCGTTGATATAAAATGGTATCTCAAGCATTAATATTATTATTTAATTAACAATATTATTGATATTTACACTTGCTGATATCAAGTGGTGTCATGCAAAAGAAAATGAAGGTCCACGACGCATAAAATGAAGAAAAAAGTATGTACCAACCAAGATCCGAAGAATGACTCAAACCATTGCAAAATTTAAATTGATTAACGGAAAACTACTTAAATTGTACCTTCGCAACCCGGAGATAGATAGGGATTTCCCTGATAGCCTTCTTTGCAGATGCAGCGATACCCACAGCTCTCCCTTGAAGAGTTAACACACGTACTATTTGAATGGCAAGTAAAACCGCCCATTGGTTCGGCTTCATTACAAACTCAAATTACCAATTGCCCATTCAAGCACTATTGGGACATTAGCTTCAACCCTATCGATGAAGGAAGTATCATTCAAATATGTTGCACCTTAAACTTGAATACATCCTCATCACCAAAGAAGGCATATGTCCAAGGATCAACATACCTTGTACTGTTTGCGATGTCTGAATCCTGTAAGGTGCCAAGCTAAGTCTAATAGTACTTGATATCTTTGGGTATGGATGATTGACAACAACCACTCGCTGAACATTTGCCGGTTAAAGCATCTTCAGGTTCTGAGAAAAAGACCATACAACCTGTAGACACGTCCCTAGACTTAGTTCGTGAGGTCAGCCAAGCAAAATCATTACAACCGATCACTGTGAACTTTTTTACTTCTTATAACGTGTACGACCAATTTGTATAATCCGCAGATACATCGAATAAACTTGTAGCCACCATATTCGAGATGTGGAGTGTGGAATCAGATATTTGTTTAATCGAGTTGTAATCCGTTTTTCTAATAGAGGCCTTTGGAGGGTCTGAAGAAGTGTTGTAGTGAATGTCAAACCCATCGCCTATTGAACAATTTGAGTTGGTGCCAATACCAAAAGGGTAGGGGACAATTAAGTCTCCCCATCGACTATCACAACCTGGCTTTGCTAAGTTGGTAGCATTAACGAGGCTGTAGGTTTTAGAGGTGGGATACTTACCAGCTGTTGCAAACGAGAACATTAGAAATATTTCAACATTAAAACAAGGGTTTTCATGGCTTTGTTTTGTGGCTCCAGTTAGAATTTTTGGGTGTTTCGATTGTTTGGATTACTGAAAGTTATGATTCACATTCAGATTGATTTATTTCGATGGTACAATCGAAACTTCAATCGGATAAATTTCAGTAATTCGAACAGAGAATCGATGTTATGAATCTATCTGTACCTTCGGAAAAACAAATGACCAATACGAAAAAAAGAATTCAAAAACTGTCAAACGACATTTTCAGAACCACCAAACCGGGTTTAAAAAACAGGGCCAACAACCGGGTTCAAAATCACAAATTCAGATTTTCGTGCATTTTCCATATAGAAACATTAACCCGGATTTTCAGCTCGACTCCATCCAGGGGCTCTGCCCCTTGGACCCCTCTACCATGGGCGCTGCCCCGGACCCCCGTCGTTTAGGGGCTTCGCCCCTAAACAAGGGTATACTTTAAATCGAAATAAACTCAAATAAGTGTGCACTCCGCACCACCCTTACTTGGTCAATATTTATCAAGATTACATTGGTCAACAAAATAATCTCATTATACTTAAATGATATTGGTGATACAAATTACCAACAACTCCAGGTGGAGGAGCATTTATGGGGTTTTCAGTCTAAATTTATGCAGGCCATAATCCATGTTGATATGATATATTAATTCAATAACTATTTGTATCTTTTCAGTTTTACCACAATAACAAACATTATAGTAGTATATGATGCTATCAAAATCTGCAGTTGAGTCTTGAGATTTTAGACGTGCAATTGAGGAACAGAAAAAAATTGGGTTACAGTTAAATAGAAAAAATTGTCAAAACAACACAACTAATGATATTCGTTCAAGAATAGCCTCCGACGGCTAAGTTAGACGTCATTAAGAGTTAAATTTTATGTATATGAATAGATGAAAAGAGCAAACCCATCATATGGTGTAATATACAGAGAGTTTCGCAGATCTAGGATTTTGTTTTGGTACGGTATCATAAAATAATTATCATAATATATTATAAAACATAAATTAATTCTAAAATAACTATATGAATTTCATATTTAGCTATTTTGGTTCGATTAAATATTTGAGTGATTAAAGAATTGATACGATAGTTTTTTTTCTTTTCAAAAATTTATCTTTTGAAAACTTTAAAACTTATTAATTGTTGGTGTATTTCGAGTTCTCCACTTGATGATTTTACATGATCGTATCAAGATGCAACATATATAATAACCTTAAAAATAAACAAATTAACATAGACACTTTGCCCAAAAGATTAGAGATTCACACCTCACAAAAAATGAAAAGGATGTATAGTTTATTTGGCATATATAGATATCATATTATAAAAAACTGGAGAGGGCTGTGAACTATATTCCAAGTAATAAGAGGGGAAGTATGGCACAAGGAAAAAGGAGAGAACCATGCTGAATGAGTCATTTTAAAGAATTATAGCAACAGGTACATGGATGCCCACTCTGGAATTCATAAGACAACTTTAAAAAGTTGTCCTCAATGTACACATACACATAATAGTTTCATATTAATTAATCAGATAACAGTACATTGAATATATGGAAGGTGCAATCATAACAAAGGTCTGAATATTATACATGGAGCACTTTATAATACACAATAGACCGAGATAAACTGAAATATTTATGTAAATTGTATGAAACTTCAAACACGAGAAATAGACACGAATGGTAGATGAAACATCCATTCACTACTAAATTGTTAACGAGGACTTTGCACTTCACTCAGCATGCCTCTTATTCTAGTAGTGCTAGAACTACTTTCTCCAAAAGTGTCACTATTAGTGATAAGAGGAACTTCGTAAAGATCATTTGGTTTATTTTCAATCATTAAGCTACTCAGTTCAATGTAGTTGTCTTCGCTAACCCAAGGATGCTTGCGAAACTTCCTCAATGTCTCAAGCTCTACTGCCACTGTTTTCATGTTGGGTCGTTTCTCACCTAATTGGTTAAGGCATCTACATGTCAAGTCACATGTTGCTTTTAACTGCTCATCAGTTGCCTCCTTTACCACTTCAAATTCAAGAATTTCAAGAATTTGGTTTTCCTTCATTGCCTTTTCAAAATATGTTGCAAGAGATTGCTCCGCTAGGCATCTTTCACCAGCAATGGGTTTTTTTCCTGTTAGGAGTTCTGCAAGAACCACTCCAAAGCTATACACATCACTCTTATCGGTTAGTTGCCCTGTACGCAAATATTCAGGATCCAAGTATCCCAACGTCCCTTGGACAAGTGTAGTGACTTGATTATGATCACCTAGCGGGATTAATCTTGAAGCACCAAAATCTGCAATTTTTGCGGTGTAACTCTCATCCAACAAGATGTTACTAGACTTCACATCTCTATGTATAATTGGCATTCTTGCATCACTATGAAGATAAGCAAGAGCACCAGCCGATTCATGTGCTATCCTTAGACGACTATCCCAAGACAATCTTGCTACACCACTTTTTCTACTATGGATGTGATGATGAAGAGTGCCATTAGAGATAAATTCATAAACTAGCAATGGAACATCAGTTTCCAAACAACATCCCAAAAGCTGCACCACATTTTGATGATTGATTTGTGTAAGAATTACCATTTCATTTATGAATTGCTCCCTTTGTCTTTGATCCAATCTTTGGGACTTCTTGATTGCAACAACACGATTATCTAGTAGAGTTCCCTTGTACACGATGCCATTGCCTCCTCTACCAAGAATGTTATGTTCTGCATACTTATCAGTCGCTTGTTCTAGATCTCCAACACCGAAAAGTTTCATGGCACCGACCCCTACGCCACTCTTGGTTTTAAGTTTCTCTTCCAAAAGCATGCCCCCATTTTGTTCAAAAAATTTCTCCCTAAGCATAACAAGCTTCTTTTTCTTGACCACGAAGTATGACACCAATAATACAATAAGTATTGTGAGTAATCCACATCCCATACCTATATATATGTAATTATAGGCACATTAATTACCATTACTTGAAGTGTTTGGTTTAAAGGTCTGTTTAGAAAGCATTGAAAGTGATATATGAAACCAACAAAAATTGAGGAGAAATGGTCTGAGTGTAGCTGATGTGTGAATCTAACATGCCCCCTCAAAGGTGGCTAGATGACTACAAATCCCCAAACTTTGTCAAGTGTCTACAGTGGTAGCTTTTGGCTCTAATACCTTGTGATAATATGTCATATGTTGAACCTAATTTAGATTACTTTTTGATAGAGCTTTTGAGAAGAGAAATGAAGTTCTAATACATCTTGAGAAGAAATGGTTCAAATATAGCCCACTTAAGACTCTAACAAAGACCAAATCGAGAGATTATGTGTTTATACAATTTTAATAACCAAATAACCTAGTTTTTCATCAGGTGTGACACTAGGAGGATAGATTCCTAATGTCAGTTTCTCCAAAACTAAGAAAATAAAATAATACTTTTTTTATCTCAAAATAAATGTTTATAATAAAAAAGATACATTTTTAAAAATGTGTAAATATAAATTTTCTCCATTACATTTTTTAGTTAACTAAATGACAGTTTTACACTTACCAATAAATATAAATTTTCTCCATTTCGCAATTAAGTGTAAAATTGGAAAATAGATATTTACTTTCAAAAATAGACATTTATTTAAGGAAAAACTAAAATAAAAATATAAAAACTTATTTTGAAAGGAAGAAAGTAATAAAAGACAAGTTTTATGTCCAACAAAGGCTAGTAGCAAAAATGGTAAGATTGTTTTAATATGCATGTGTTTAGTAATAATCTTTGAACAGTACAATTTTTTGCACAAAAAGTAAATATTTAAGGTAAATGAGCAAGAATTACCTATCGATAACACCAAAGGGTGGAATGGTTTACGTCGACAACCATCTTGTATTTTGGCATCACCCGAATGCCCTCGTTTACATTTGCATGTGTAATTCCCCTCAGTATTAAAACAAGTTCCATAACATGGAAACTTGTCCGGATGCTTACACTCATCAATATCTAAAAATTAATAAAGGAGATTTCGATAAGTTGTCAAGGTTAAGTAACTAAATCATAGTTCTTGGTAACAAAAAACATTAATTCTTTCATTAATTAAAGTAAATCCTTTTTTGGGGGACAGATAGATATAGAATAGAATAAATAGTTCTTAGTGGATAACATAGAACACTAGGTTATAAACTTAAAATAGTACTATAATATTGATATTTATAAACTTAAACATTTGGGTTAATTATAATATAAATTTGATTACGAAAGTTGATATCCTTTGCCCCTTTATAACTTTATGTGTATAAAAATTGTTAAACAGCTATTATAAAAAAGTTTTCATATGAGTTATGATTTAATTTATTGTGAACCATGATTTCATATATGGATTATGATATGTATTGTGAATTATGATTTCATATATGTAGTCATCTAATAATCACATATGAATCCTTTCATATTTAGACCGAGAAAGATTCGGATTTGCCTGGTTCATTCATGTCCAAAATGCCAAAGAGTTCAAGCATGGGTTAAATAAAATCTGGATAGGGTGATACAAACTCTTCGTTAGTATAGAGAAATTCAAAAGAAATCAAGTTGTGGAGAAGAGAATGAAGGAAGATTATCAACCTGCAAAGGGTCTCGATCAAGTTGCTAACCGGGGTAGGAACCAAAAAACTTAAAAGTGGCCAAGAGTACCTCAGGTGAGTCCAAAGGAAAACATGTTTTGTTTAATCTAGTTTCAAACTCCTCTTCGCCTATAAATTTGAACTACAAAATATTTCTAACATCTAAGGAAAACTCAAATGTTGTTTGTTACCTAGAAACTCTCTTTGTCGCCAAAGTTAAAACGGTGCAGGCTCTTTTCAAGTTGACGAATTTATGTTCCTCAGAAGGACTGAAAGACTTCAAGTTTAAATACCTCGGAGGCCGATGGGTCCTAATCCAATGCCCAGATTATGCTAGGATGGATCATGCCTCCAAGTTCAATAGACTTTACAAATGGTTCTCTTCCTTCAAAAAATGGACTAAGGAGTTAGAAGTATATGAGATACCGGTTTGTGTTAACATCGAAGGTGTCCCCCCGAGAGCATGGAACCCAAAAACCTTCATCTCCATTGCCTACAAATGGGGTGAAGTAGTAATTTTCAAACCTCGGTGGAACTTTGAAACCAACTTTAGGAGATGAAAGTTTGCATCATAACTAAAAATTTCAAAATCATCTCGGAGGCTGAGGAAATCCTAGTCGATGATAAAGTAGTAACAGTTCGAATACCCGAAGAAGAACGATTAACTCTTCCTTGGGAATCGATATCCAACCCCGAGGAGGAAGAAAAGATGGAAAGTGATAAGAAGGATGATGAAGATCTTCTTTGTAGCTACCCGACCCTAAGGGAGGTACTTGTAAGGGATCAATAAGCAACCGCGTGATGAACGAACTACATCTGTTTTCCCTTTTCGGGACATACATCATTTTTATTTTATGAGACTCGAACATCATCCGTTGCAGTAATTGCATTCGTAGAGAATTGACCAACACCTTAAAGGAAGTCTTCTCTACTGACTTCGACCTAGATCTGGAGATACAAAAAACCATGGAGGTAGGCAAGATGGTGGGGATAAAATTGGATAGAGCATCATCATAGTTGGAAAACAACATATTTTGACAAGGTGTGTTCCGAACTGGTCAATGAATTTTCTCTCAATAAACTGTAAGGGGTGGGGAGCGATTACAAATCAAAATGAATTTACGACCTGTGCAAATCTCATCACATCAATTTTCGCCCTTCAAGAAACATAGGCTTCCAATTTGTCTGCAGTTCAAATAGAAAGCATGTGGGGACTCAGAATTCGATCATGTAGAGACTAAAGCAATTTGGAGGACAAGAGAAACTATGTCAATATGGGACCGGAAAGTCTTCTCTTAGATCGAAAACCATATGCGATGAAAGGTTTGTAGTATTCTTTGAACTTGTATTCCTAAGTTGGAAGCATGTTGTGTAATCAATGTCTACACTGCAAAATCCTTCAATGAGTTCATCCTTAACGGAGACCTCATTGACATGCTAATTACTGGTAGAAAATACACTTGGTCAAATTCAATGGGTTCCAAATTAAGCAAGCTAGACAGATTCATCGGCTCAAGAAAATTCATTGACCTTTGGCCAAACTTGAAATGTACGATTCTTGCTAGTGATAAATCTGATCATAGTCCAATCGTCCTCAAAGAGGCCGCCGCAAACTATTGTCCGACCCCGTTCATAGTGTTTAACTCTTGGTTCTTTCTGAAGGATTTTAGATCATTGGTAGAGCATGTTTTGTGTGCAGATCGATAAACGAGGTGGGAAAATAAATTGGTTGATTTGAGGAATAAGTTGAAAATGTTAAAATCTCATACCAAGAAGTGGTGGTCTGATAAAAAGAGCTCTCTAGAGGTTACCAAAAAGAAAGCATTAGAGGCGATTCATGAAGTAGAAGAACGCATCGAAACCAGACTTAGTGACTCGGAATAGATCGAGAATAAACAAGATCCTAACTAAAGGAAGATGGGCAGAGGAACCGAGCGAGGTGAAAAAAAATGATTTTTGTTCTTTCTTCAAAAATAGTCTGGGATCTCAGTCCAGCCCAGGTGCAGATTCATCAAGGAAGGTCTTAAAAAACTCTTTAGCGAAGAGGTAATCTCTCTCGATAGTCCGGTCACCGAGGATGATTATTAGCAGTGATGTCGTTGAGGCGGTAAAAGAATTCTTTAGATCAAGATGGCTCCCATCCGGGTGCAGTTCTTCGTATATATGTCGTATCCCTAAATCTGTAAACTCCCATATCTGAAACCTATCAGTCTCGTTGGTTGCATATACAAAATCATCACCAAAATCCTTGCAAACAGAATAAATAGAGTCATCAACTCCATTATTAATGACTCACAATCAACTTTCATGAAAGGTAAATACATTCTAGACGAAGCTCTGAGCGCCAACGAAATAATACTTGGGCTAAAAACAATAAAAGAAAGATCCTTTTTCTTCAAAGCTGATTTCGAGAAAGCGTTTGACATTGTGGAATAATGCTATTTGGACGAGATCAAGGAAGGCATGAGCTTCTCGATGAATTGGAGGAAATTGATTAAAGTTTGCTTTCACTCAACTACGATATTGGTTTTGGTTAATGGTGGGTCTCCAACCTTAGAATTTTGGCTTCGGAGAGACCTCAATCAAAGGGATCCTTTATTCTCTTTCTTTTTTCATCATTGCTACGGAAGGTCTTCATGCTATCATGTCGAAGACCAAGAACAAAAACCTAGTTAAAGGCTTAAAAAAAGGCAACAATAATCTTTCTATAAACCATCTTTTTTATGCAGATGACACGAGGTTCATAAATGATTGGTCAGTAGAAGACAGGAGGAATATTCTAAGAACTTGAGATGTTTTTTTCTTACTTTAGGATTGCAGCTAAACATGATGAAAAGTGAACTATTTGGAGTATGTGTGGAGGAGAATGCCATCCAAAGGGTTGCTATGGAGATCAAATGCAAAGTTGGATGTCTTCCAAGTAAGTACCTCTGTGGTCCCGTTGGGAGAAAAAACATCGAGGGTTGAAACATGGGTTCCTGTTATGAAAATTTTCCGAAACATTATCGATTGGAGGAAGAAGTGTTTTGGTTCAAATTGTCCTAGGCAGTCTATCAACTTATTACCTCTCTTTATTCAAAATTCCTAAGACACTGTTTGATCACTTGGAGAGACTTCGTCGAAACTTTTTCTTGGGATCGGATGAAGATAATAGGAAGCTCCATTGCATAAACTAGTGAATAGTGCTGTGAAGTAAAGAAAATACGGGTCTATGTGTTAGAAGAAGCATTGTCATTTCTCATCGTGCTCTTTTGGCAAAGTGGGCTTGGAAATTCAAGGAGGACCCCAATTCAACTTGGGTGAAAGTCATAAAATCAATTTATGGCACTGAGGGTTACATTCGGATCATGGAGTTACAAATACTCTAGCCCATGGAGAAGCGTTATAGCTACTATATATACGTTGAGGTTTTTTGGCATTAACTTTAATGACATTTGTGTGAAATAGGTTGGGAATGGTTTAAAGACAACTTTTTGGACAAATCGATGGAAGGACTCTCACCTTTTGGAAATCGTTTTCCTAGATGTTATGCTCTGGAAAATGAAAAACATATAACAGTAGCGGACAGGCTAAAGATGAGCAACTCATGGGACTGGCGCAGACTTATTCGAGACGAAAACAAGGCATAAGATATCGATCATCTGAAAGAAATAATCAAGGACTACTTGTTGTCCGATAAACCCAGTAGCCAGAGTTGGGCTCTCGCCTCTAAGGGTCTGTTCTTTATTGGCTATTTGATATAGAATATCGAGAATACTTATTTGGGAGTGGGGGGAAAAAGGAGACATGTTGGAATTATCTGACACCCCCTAGAGTGAACATATTTATGTGCAGAGTGATGCTCGATAAAATCCCTTCCCAAGACAATCTCAATAAAATGAATGCGGACCTCCACAATATTCTATGTCCACTTTGCGGCTCCGAAACTGAAACTACCAGTCATCTCCTATTCAATTGCACCGTGGCGTCGGAGGTTTGGAGTTTTATTGAAAGACGGTGGTCAATATCCTTTCCTGGAGACAGGTCCATGGAATCGATGATCGACAGAATCAACTCTTCAAACGAGGACAATCATGTAAAGAACGCTCTAGAAGCAGTCTTCTTCACATGTTGTTACATTTTATGGTGTTTCCAAAATAGATATGTTTTCAATATTTCCTCTCCATGTAAAGATTCTCTTCTCAATCAGATTGTGGAGAAACCGTTTACTTGGATTTTGGCTAGGTGTAAAAAGAGCGTTAAATACTTGATTGTGTGGAGGTTCCAACCATATGGTTGTATCAGAAACTTGTAATGCATCTGTCTCTGATCATTTGCTAGCTTCTTGTTAGTATGTAATAAAAGTTATGGTGGTCGTTTAAAAAATACATGTGAAACCATAAGCATCAACTCTCTATAAAACAACTACAAAAAAAAAAACACTAATAACAAAAATAATTCAAGTAAATCCACAAAAAAATATGATCATTAAAGTAAATCAAATAAGGAAAACTCATTATCAGAAATAAAATATATATTTTAGTTGATAATAACCGTATCCCTTCCCTTAATGATGAAATTTAATATTAAATTGAAAAAACAAAAAATATAAAATACAAAAACCCTTATGATTAAAAATAAAATAAATTTTTAAACCTCTAAAATCGTGGAAGATCGACCGTTGTGATGGGGTTGCATGACTTTGAAACTTTGAGAGGTTTACAAGTGATTTGTGGGGTGTGTATATATATATATATATATATATATGTATATATATGGTGATAAAAGAGAGTGCAACATGTATCCCCAGCGTCTACGGATTATTCATCATGAATAATAAATCAATTTAACATAGATGATGATTGTGTGTTATTCATCATGAATATAATAGTATTATTCATCATGAATTTCACCTTCGTTATTCTTACCGAATGCCTTTCGTTATTCGTACTGAATGTGAACGTCGGGGATACGTGTTGTGCTCTCCAATGTCCCCTGGTTCACAACAAGAATCGGCTTGCAATTGATTGTTTCTCTCTCTCTGTCTATATATATATATATGTATATATATATAGGGTATATTTCAAATGCAACTATGTCTATTTGTACAACCAATGCAACCCAATTAATTGAGATATTTATAGAAATGATGGGAGTTCATTTATTATGATTTGAATATTTACGGAAGATTGATAGAGTTCAGTAATTATGATCAATATTTTATATTAGGAAACAATCAAAACTTATATGAAATCTCATATTCATCAAATTAAATGGACAGTTGAGATTGAGATTGTATTGGTTGTACAAATGTAAAAGATTGTATAATAACTCACATCTATATATATATATATTGCACGTTTCAAATACAATCTATCCTATTTGTACGGAATCAAGTTAGTTGTTTAAAGAATAAATGTAATCATTATTCTTTTTTCCTTAAACGAAGTACAATTTTAAATTAATAAAGAAAAACCAAATCGAGAATATGCAACGGCATACTGCGTTACTTTGAGGTTCAATTTAACTTATTTGTTAAGAAAAATTATATTTCTAAAACATATATCAAAATCCATTGAAGTTGAAGGATCCCATGTAATGAATATAAACAATTTGCTTTAACAATTGGAAAACAACGTAAAGCATACCTTTACAGCCAGGAGATAGATAGGGATTTCCTTCATAACCATCATTACAGATGCAACGGTACCCACGACTTTCCCTTGTAGAGTTAACACACTTGCTATTTGATTGGCAGGCAAAGCCATCCGTTGCTTCGACTTCAACGCAACTTAGATTACCAATAGCCCATTCAAGCACTATTGGGACTTCAGCTTCAATCTTTTCAGCCAAGAAAGTGTTGTTTAAATCTGTCTCACCTTTGAACTTGAATACGTTCTCCTCACCAACAAACGCATATGTACAGGGATTAAAGGATCTCGTATAGCTCATGTTGTCTGAATCCTCCATGGACTTGACCTGAGTTCTAAAGTAATTTATGTCTCGGGATATGGATGTTTCACAACAACCATTTCCTGAACATTGGTCACTTACAACATCCTGTGGTGTTGCACAAATGGCAGCACAACCTGTAAGCACATCCCTTGACTCTGTTCCTGAAATCAACCAAGCAAAATCATCGCAGCCAATGACTCTGAACTTATTTACTCCCGACAAGGTGTACGGCAAGTCGATGTAATTCACGCTGATATTGAAACCATTTGAAATTGTGCCATTTGGTAAATAGCACCTAGAAGACACGAGATTGGAAATCCGGATTGTGGAATCAGATATATGTGTAATTGAGGTGTAACTGTCTTCATAAATAGAGAGCTTTGGAGGATGTAACGAAGTATTACAATGGATGTGAAACTCAGGGCTTATAGAACAATTTGTGTTATTGCCGAAGCCAAAAGGGTAGGGAACAATTACATCTCCACACTGGCTGGAGCAGTTTGGCTTTGCTAAATTGGTAGAGTTAATGAGGGTGTATGTATCAGAGGTAAAATTTGTATCAGATGCAGTAAACAACGAGAGCATTTGAAGTAATACCCACATCAGAACAAAGGTTTTCATGACAGTGTTTTGTGGTTTACTTACGATGCAAGTGGAGTACGATTTGAGGGGTTTCTCAAGCTAACCTTATATAAGCTGTAACACATGTAATATATTTTTTTTTTTAATAAAAGAAAAAAAGAAGTCAATTGACTACTAAGTGCTTCTTGAGATGTAAAACAGAAGCAAAGAAAATACACAAAGAAAACTATAAATTAATATTAATTATAAGTTATTAACTAATTTTAATTATTTATTATTAAGTAATTCTAATTATAAGTTAATGCTAGATTCAAATTATTAATTAACTTCAAAGAAGTATTTCCTACCTATTATAGGTTAAATAATTATCGCAATCTTTTTTTTTTTGAACCGCAAAAGAGAATTTATTAAGAAAGGAGAAAAGGACTAGCAAGGAGCTAGTTAATATCATAGTACACCGTTTAAATAATTATCGCAATCTAGTGACGTGTTAATTATATATTCAAGATTTATTAATTGATAATGAAATACGTGTGTTTTGGTTATTTATTTGTCTTCTGATAAACTAAAACTGAATTCTTATTTGAATATTCATAAACTGTCATGTTTGTGTAGCGTGTATAACAAGTTCATAGACAATAATCCAGGTCATCATAATAATTCTGATAAAACACATATACAACTGGGGTATATGAATGGTCAGCTTATGACTAATCCTTCCGACCACTATGAATGGTCTGAAGTCATCCCAAGTGAATCTTTATGGCCACAAGGGCTTTTGGAATGCTTGGATTCCAACGTAGGATAGATGTGATTTTCCACTACATCCTCCTAAGGCTTAACCAGTGGACCATAACCCAAGTAGTTATAATTATTTTGAGTGAAGGTGAGGCTAAATTTTATCATCAGGAAAAAAATAATACAAGATAAAGCAAAAAAATTCCCATACAAGTTCTTAGTTATAGGTGCAAATAGATTTGTGAAATCTGACTACGGTAATATTGTTTTTCTTTGATAATTTGTGGACTGTTAAACAATAGATGTCTTTTTCGACCTGAGTCAAGTCGAACTTGGTCATGTCTTACTTGTAAGCCTATTGTGGTGTTTTGAAAGGCTATCATGTGTTATCTATCATGTCGTTGAAGGAGAACATTTGGACATACAAATATATACTCAGAGGGGCCGGGCGTACTCTACACGATATCTAGCAAGTTATCACATATGCGTCAACATGCAAGTGGCAAAAATACTTTATGGATTGTAAAAAGGGTTGCTTATTTTCTCTGGTCAATTTTCTTATTGTGCAAAATTGCACAATAGTGTCCAATAATATATCGTTATTTATTAGGTTAGTTTTCAATCTTGATAATTACATCGTAGCATTTTAATCCAATAAAATTTAAGATGGAATATTTGTTGGAAATCCGTCGATAAATTAAATTAGATAATTAATTAGTTTAATTAACTCAAAGAATTTAAGAAAAGTTGGAAAAAGTTTGTGACGGATTTCCTATGGATATATCCATTAGAAAATGTTAAATCTATCAGAAATTCGCCGGAAATTATGTTTTCTGATGAGGGTTTTTCTGGCCTACAAGTCAGTTGGTAATCCGGATCTTCGACAGATTTGTCTGTTGTAAAAAGTGGTTTGTTTAGTAGGGATCATTATAATTATCGATCATCGCAATATTACTTCCAACCTAGCCATGTAATTACAAGTTTACTGCTTTTCAATCTTAATAACTACATCATATGTCATTACAACAATAGTGATCTATTAGTCTTCCTCAACCCAAGTAATAAAAAAGTTGAAGGCACATGAATGTCCATTTGCTCTAGTTTATTGATCATAAAGGCACATGAATTGGGTAGTTTAATTTTAATGGCAAGTTGCATCATTCCGTTAGTAACTAATATGAAATTATTCATGTCTATATAAACCAACAATTTTGTTACGTCCTTTTGCAGTCTTAGATGTAACACCCAAAGATCACATTTACATGTTAACATATATTTCTATATATTCCGAAATATAATTTACATATTTGGTCTCAATATCTATAAAAGCTATTTTACAAAGTAGCTACAAAATTCCTATTCAAAACTTATACACATATCAAGTATTCAAATACAAAATATAACATGTTATCCTAACATCTCATGCAAGCATATACAACTTTTCACAACTTCCCTTTCTCCTTATCCTCTGGTTGTGTCCGACCTGTAATGTACATTTTCAAAACAACAAAATGAGGGTTAGACCTTGAGGTATAGTGAGAAATCTATGTGTTTGCTATTACAGGGTGAATAATCATCGAAACACTTTTATAAACTCATACTTGTATTAATTAGAAATAAACAACATTTTAACAAAACAGACCTCTTTTGTCGCATCAAAATGATGAGACATCATCCAATTATCGCATCAAATAGCCAAACAACTCATTTATCGCATTATGATAAAACTCATCGCACCATATAGGTAAAAACATAAATTCCTCGTATCACATGGGTGAGACAACCTAGTTCCTCGAAACACACTAATGCTAGAGTCCCATCTTATCGCATCCACTAGTGCGATAAATCAACTTGTCGCATCACAAGGATGCGACAAACACAACTTCTCGCATCATAAGGATGCGATAAAAATAGTCATCGCATCAATAGGAATACAGATGCGACAACTCAAAATTATCGCATCATAAGGATGCAATAACAATGCATCAACTTGATAAAAACCCAGTTTTTACATTCTGTTAATTATGCCGCCTTTATCCTGTTGTACATCTCTACTTGATATGTCACCCTTATCCCAAAATACGTTCTCTTGATATGCCACTCTTATAACCAAGATACACCCCTCCTTAATACGTCACTCTTATTACAATCACTTGATATAATCATATTAAATACCAATTCATGCTAATTATAGCATCAAAACAGTTTTACAACATCCTCATGTAAAGAACCATACAGTTCTAATAAAAAAAATACGATGAAAGTTTGTAAAAATAAACTCACCTTATTGTTACACACAGAAGGCTCTTTGCTTCTTTCTCGGCTCCAAAACACACACACGCAAGCTTAGTTTTTACTCCTTTTTCCACTATAACAAAACCGAATTTATAGGACACTCTCAATTTCTAAGCATCCTAGTAGACCTCTTTATAAGACTTAGTTTACAGGACCAAAAAAATAAAGCGTTCTATCTAAAGGTGTTGTAACAAGTTTATATGATGCTTTTAGGCGTCTTAACAAGTTTTTTAGAACATTTTAAATACAAAATGTCGTATTAACAACTTTATAGGACACTTTTGAAAAATGTTTTATAAACTCAATTTTTTATAGGACATTTGTTTTTATAGGACAGTTTTTCAAATAGTGTCTTATAAAGTTGCTAACAGGACGTTTTATATTAAAAGTTTCATAAAAAATTTATTACGACGTCAAAAAAACGTCATATAAACTTATTACCACGCCTTCAGATAGGATGCTTTATTTTTTTGGTCCTATAAACTGAGTCTTATAAAGAGGTCTATTAGAACGCTTAGAAATTGGGAATATCCTATAAACTCGATTTTATTGCAGTGTTCCTTTTTACCCCCAATCCCAATGAGATAAACTAATATCTCATATAATAAGTAATTAAAGAATGAGGCAGTGAAGGTTTTAAAAGAATTAAACACATAAACAATTTAACACCTGCCACTTACCATCAATAATAAAAAACAATCCTGAACTTTATAACCGATTAACCGGTTATCACATTAGAACAATTAGTTTTGCTTCCAACCATACAGTAACACGAAAGATTTTTGTGTTATGGCTAGTGAATCGTCAAATTTGGGAGGTACTATAGACCAAAGAATACGTATTTGGGTGCCACATTTAGTTATTTTGTGCATTATATTTAAAAGATATATGTTTTTCCCACCAAGTCTTTATTAATTAATGGAAGTTACCTAATCCATTATTAAAATCAAAGTCAAGGGAGGGATCGATTATGTTATAAAAATGAGAGTAGACTGAGAGACCAAATGTGTTATAAAAATGAAGGTGGAGAGAGATGAATGGTTAATGGACAAAATACCCCTTACCTATGGCACTCTAATTAACGGCATTTATATTTGTTATAAAAATGAAAACATAAAGACGGCGTTACAGTTAATCAGTATATGTCATTAAGATAGTGTATATTTATCAGTGAATACTATACATATATTATGAGAATAAAATAAAGCCAATAAAAAAATTAAAAAAATATGTGGATACGGGCGTCAAATTAAAGATGACATAGTGTTCAATTTTATTATATTTTTTAATTAAAATAATAATTATATATAATATAATTTCTTTAAAAAAAAAGGTGGTATTTTATTTAGTTTAAAGAAAGAAAATAAATAAAAATAGAAGGGATGGATTTAATATGGCATAAAGTTTTTTTTTCAATACCGTGTATCAACTAATTATAACTGATACGTAAAATCTCATATCATGTACCAACCAATAGTTCTTGGTATCAATTTAATTGGTACATGTAGGTACTAGTTTTATACCAACTTCAAATTATGTATATGAAAACTTGCTCTTTCGTTCAAATTTAGAGTCATATTTCGAGTTAGTTGGTAAAACATGTCATGTTTAAGTGTTTTTAACTGTATGGAATGAAATTTGCAAACATCCAAATTTCCTAAACAAGTTAAAGTTGCGATATCTAATATCCAATACATCAAAAATACAAAAACGAATAAATAATTAAATAAGTTGGTACCATTGTACTATCGTCATACGAACTTCCAATATCGTATACCAATCAAGTTTTCATATGTGATACGGTACTACCAACTGACTATAATTGATAACGATTAAATTCGTACCACTTTAATTAATATGGTTGGTACAGTTGTTTGTTGATTTGATCTAATACAAAATTGTCACCCTATGAAAACGTGTGGATTGCACCTTTTAATTTTGTCTGACCCCAAATTTACCCCTAATATATTCAATTAGTTCATAACCCTCCATTCAATCTTCATTTAACTTACAGA